CCGGCTCTCGGCCATCGAGAAGGTGATCTGAGTGGCCGGGAGGAATCCTCCCGGCCGCTTCCGTGGGTCTTTTGTTCCGCCGACCCCCAAACCCTGGTCGGTTTTGGAGGATCGACTCCTAAACCGACCGGGGGATTCTTTTTTTTTTGAATATTATCTTTTGGGGAGTCGACTCCCAAACCAGTCGGAGGTTTTGGGGGTTCGACTCCCAAAATTTGGGGATTCCGGGGCTTGGGAGTCGGCTCTCCATTTTCTGGGAGTCGTTTAACCAAGCCCCTTTCAAAATTGGTGAAAAATAAAAAATAAAACTGATTTTTCTCAAAAGATTTGACATTCTTTTTGTGGGAGCAGGAGTGCTGAGAGAAAGAATGGAAAATGGGAAGAATGATTATCAATGAAAATTTTAGAAAAAATGGTTACCAGATGGTTTGGAACAGCTGTTGAGTGTGGCATTTACCAGCTCACATTGTAGTAAATCACTAGAATTTACTGTTTTGACACCTCTTTCTTTCTCTCAGCACACCCACTCCCCCAAAATGAATATCAAAACTTTTGGAAAAAAACAACTTTATTTTTCAATTTTCACAAATTTTGAAACTTTGTTTTTTTTTTCTCTATTTTTTATATTCATTTTGAGGAACTATTCTGCACCACTTGACCAAGTCTCATGATCTCAATTTTGTGCTTTCAAGCTATGGAATCCAAAATGAACAGCCAAAAATAATGGTCCACCCATTGTACATATGGAACATGAAATTCTCAAAAAGAATGGCTCTGGTCAATTCAGATTCTGAACAGTGGATAGCGGGTATCCGCAACAGAAACCCTGAGGCCATCTATAATTCAGAAGCTTATTCTTTAATTTGATGGGCTTGAGGTGGTCAGGATCAGATCATAATAAACAAATAAACTAATCACGCTTATAGGCCTGGAAATTTTTGGAAGGAAGCAGATGGGTGGATAAACTCAAATGCTTGCAAGTTGCATTGATTTAATTCTTGACTAATTGCTTATAATTAATGGTGGGATTTGTGTTTTTACTGTTTGGTTTTCTCAATTCCTAACAGATTTCTTACTTGACAGTTAATTGTAAACATGATTTGGACAATATTCTTTGAACTACAGAAACAAATCCAAGTACCATCAACTTAGATGTATTGGATTCTTGAAAACAAACTGCAAGAAACTGAAAATCACTTGTTATATAGTGTTTTCATGCATCTATGAAATCTGATTGATTCAAAATCTCAAGATCCAACAAGCTGCATAGATTTCTTTGTGATTTATGACCTCATTGTGATATATGGCCTCATTTCCACCATGTAGCATAAAATGTGATGAGTGAATGAATCCATTCCAAGATATTGAAACACTTCACATTTTGTTCAAATGTGATCCAAAGAAGTTCCTGAACAATCACTCCTGGTAATTTCATCATGTGGGCCACTATATAGCATACCAGATTACAGGAAAACCTTCCCCACTTGAAATGGAAATTTATATTGACAGCACATCAACAAATGGCTTTGATTGCGGTAAGCGTGATAAAATTTATGATTATGCACTGAAACGGTTGGCAGCAAAAATAAACATCTGCGTTTAAGGAAATAGTAAACAAATCGAAGATGGAAGGAGCACAATCGGATGTATGTCTCAAGATATTTGGTTATTTTGAGTTGTTAGGGTTAGTATAACCAGTATAATAGCACATAGTAGTTTAACAAAGCTTCTGATAAGTTGACTTGTGGTTTGATTTGGCAATTGTCATGTTTATGAATTCCGGCCATAGAGAAAAGCCGCGCAGAGGCGAGATGCTGCCCTGACAAGAAACTGTACGTTGTCTGGAAGAGACGCTGATTGAGTTGCTGGACGTTTTTTTGAAGTCGCTAGTGCGCGAAATTGTTCGCGGCCGGACGCTTCTCAACGCTTTCGACCTTTTGAGATAGACTGCTCGGCTTGTCAATTCTGGTACCGATTCTGATGTCTAAATACATTTCAAATAGGATTAGCCAATTTGTACTTGTACTTCTCAGAACCCTCCTATTGACTTTAATCCCTCTATATACAATAGTTGTGCAACAGAAACACCTTTGATAAGAGGCAGCGTTAATTACTCACCGGTTGCAACGCGAGGACAGCCCATCTTGTGGACTGTGTACAGTTCGACCGAAAAGCGAGCCACAGCCAAATTCGATTTTAGGAGGGGAGTCAGGATGTCAGGACGGTATCTTTTTATCTGTTTTAATGTGGTGCTGACCAGCTTCATGGCATGCTTTGATTGCATTCATGACTTCATCCCAAGGCCCTTCGAGCCCAGTTCCGTACCCGCTTTTAAAGGAGTTCGTTTCAAGATCGGACAATGATGAATGTGCGCATTAGCTAAACTGGCTACTAATGTTACGTCTACGGATGATGGATTCGTGGCTTCCAAGAGCTTTATTTTCAAAATAAGAAGGAAAACTCACTGCATCTTAGACCGAGCGATGAAACGGAGCATACAAGATCGAAACGCTTCAGCACTTGAGGTCCAATAATCAATCAGGAAAAGGGAAACGGGGCCTACTTTGTATTCTAGGCCGGTTTTAGCCAAGACCCTAAAGATAGACACGATCATTTCAGTTTTTGATATCCTTGGCTTGTAAGTCACTTATCACAACTGGAATAAATAAAAATAATAATTTAATAAACCCGGAAAAGAAGATCTGGGACAAAAACATTCTTGACTACCCAGTCCACTCCGAACCTCTTTCGAATTTTGCTGCGTGAATATTTGACTCACCTTTGACATTCAGTAATGTATTTTCCAACGCTTGCACCGTCCTCACCGCCAATCTGTGGGATATGAAGATGAGGGCAAAACACAACATCGTATGAGTTTGCCAAGCGAATGAAACACATGAATAACAGCACGTTGTTTTTGTGTTGCGATTTTGAATCGCGGAACGAGGATAGAACAGATCAGGTTAATGAAACGAGGGTCAGATCGATTTGAATGACCCTAACTTCAATAAACTACGCATTTTGGTAAAAGGAGGACTGAGGAGGAAAGGAACTACTGACTGGAATCAAGCAAAAGTCTGCAGTGCAGCGAGTCATTGAAGTTGATCTCTCGTCTGCCTTGGACATATCTCCAACAATGGTATAAGTATATTAATATGTATGCAGACGGATGGATGATTTCTACGGAAAACGAAACCAGTAAGAAGTTGCCAGTTTGCGATCCGAGAAGACTGGAGTGATGAACCGGCATTTTGGTCTGCTGGTCTCACTGATCAACTGACGTCACACGATCTGCGTGCTGTGACTTGGCAAGATGAAGGGCTTGCTTACACGAACTTAACAAAAGTCCGCGTCCCTGCTGCGGCGTGGGCACTGTAGCCGCTCGTCGAGTGTGCATGCACTGAGGACTCTCCCGCAGGGAGAGGACTTATGCCCGAGGGGAGCATGATACCGTGAGGCTATGATCCAATTTTGGTGGTGAAGGTTCTCATTCCACCCTAGCGCCATGAATTTTAACCTAGTTTTTTTGTCCTTGCAATCAATGAAGCTTAGATATATTCTTGTTAATCCTGCCAACTCAGAATTTGTACCTCTTATCCCAATCATGCCCGCTTAAGCTTCCCAAATGTTGGGTATTGCAATTTTAATTCTGTCACTTAATGGCATAAACTTTTTTTTTCCTTTTGCTCTTTTTTCATAACCCTCCTCTTTTTTTCGACCTTTTGGACTCTCCAGTATAACACTCCCTTATAACGAGCTTCTTTTTTCACTTTTAGACCGTGATTGCTTTTTATCCATCCCAATCCCGCACATGACATCGAACTCTCACACAGACACAATCATCCCTCCGAACGAAACAAATATATTATCAAAAATGCATCGATGCTCTTCTACTCGGCGAAGGAGACAGACTCTTGCTTTTACGATTCAATGTCAAAAAATCGATGCCGAGGGTACCAGCGAGGTGTAATGTTGTTGGGGGGTTTGGTTTTCTGTTGTTCGTTTTCTTTGATACACTTTTTTTTCTTGACAGGTGACAGGAGTGCAACGGTGTCACCATCGTCCATGGCACCCAGCCGACTAGCTTAGCCGACGGTCAGACCACAGTCCTGTAACACGCCCTGGCACGTATAGGAACCGTGATGGTGGTCAATCAACACATTCCCGTTTCTGTCACACTCGAATCATTTCTCCTTGTCATCTTTCATCTTTGTTTCCATAACACCCCAGTTATTCATCTTAGTGTAGATCAGAATATGATCTCTTTAAACACAGCAAGCGTGCCGTTCGATAAATTGAAATACTTTCTTAAGAACGGTCTGGAAGAGAGACTTCCCTCAAAAGCAGACATCCATGTTCTAAACGGATGGAGGCCGTCGACGTTAATGAGTTACAATAGCGCCGTAGCCAAATTTAACCGCTTCCTAATTAGCGAGGGAATCGTTTCTTTAGTCCTACCCGTCACCGCGTCGTTGCTAGAAGAATTTTGTATCTGGGCAGGCAGAAACGACGTATCATCAAACGATGGAAAAATTTCCGCAACCTCTTTAAGAAAATACCTGGCAGGCATCAAGGCTTGGCACATATATCATAGCGCTACCTTCCCAGACGACAACAATCCGAGGTTGGCACTGTTACTCAAGGCATCCGCAAAGAAAGACGAATCATCTGTAACAGCAAAAATGAAATTGCCAGTTATGTTGTGGCATATGGCTCACTTGTGGAAGTCGTTAGTACTGGGCGACGAACTCGACCGGGCCGTATTGGATGTGTCGATCGTGGCGTTCTGGGGTTTGGCGAGGCTCGCGGAGTTAACCTACATCAAAGACGGTAATTCGATCAACTTCGGAACTTCAGTCCTAACGACGGATGTCAGCTTCACCGAAAGCGTAAACCTAGGAGCCGTCGTAACGCTAACAGTTCGCAATGCCAAAACAGCGAAACCCGGGTCACCTCAGATTATCACGTTGTGTGAACAACACCACGAGTTGTGCCCTGTTCTAGCTGTGAAACGGAGACTTGCATCTTCCGCCGGCGAAACGACATCGTTATTCGGATACAAGAACGGGCCCGACCGGATTCACTTAACCAGATATCAAGTTGCATCGCGGGTGGAAGAAGTCCTAACAAACGGCGGTTTCCCAGGTATAAAAGGACATTCCTTCAGGGTCGGCG